GGGTGGGATGGGGTAGGGGATAAGTGATGGTTGTCTGTCGTCCGCGGTACATGGCCGATTTTGGGTTTGAACGAGTTGGTTGTTGTGCGTGAGAGCGCCTCAAATCATCCTGCGTGCGAGGTGCCATAGCGGTGAGCAGGTGTCGCCTGGATGAGACCCTGCTGCCGCCCGCAAGCAGGACAGGCGGGCCACAGCGCGCTCGCCCCGCCCCCCTCCCCCGCTGCTGCGCAACATTTGTTTGCAACACAGCCCTGCCGTCAGGCCGCGCGTCACACGCGTGCGCGCGAACACACACGCGCTCGCACACGCACACACGCGCGCACACACACACACACACACACACCACCCAATCACCTGTGGTGCGGATCGTATTTCTCATTCAGCAGCGGGGCCATCGCCGACTTATACTCCTCCCTCCGAAAAACCTGCGGCGCCACCCCCACCCTGTCCAGCAGCCGCTTGTAGAACACCAGGCTGCCATCAAAGCCCAGGAGAGACACCATGCCAGTGGGCGCCACATAGGCGCGGTCAAAGGCGGAGGCCAGGTAGGCGACGGCGGTCGCGTTGGCGCCGCCCTCGCCGATTGAGTTGCTGTAGGCGACGGCCGGCGCGCGGCCGCGGGAGTGGAGCTGCGGGAGGACGTGTGCGTGTGTGAGTGCGTGTATGTGTGTGTGAGATGTGATGTGCGTGTGTGGGGGGGGGCCTGCGCGTACGCGCGCACGCGCTTGCGCCCTCATCGCCCGCGCCACAGCACCCGTGGCAGGACCCTCTGCTCTGCATGCCTGCCCACTCCAACAGCAGCCACGTAACATCAGCACCGGCAAGCAAAACCAAAACCCTCCCGTCGGCGGGGGAAAAAAGCCGCCCTGTGGCAGCTCACCCTGAAGTCTATGAGGGCATTGCGCAGCTCCTGCACCTGGGCCAGACCCGCAAACTGCTCGCGGCCCCCCAGCAGCGCCAGCAGGCCCTGCACGCGCGCATCATGCTTCCCCTCGTCGAGCGCCTGCGGGGTGGGGG